CTGACGGACGCCTTTTTAGAAGGGAACCATCCCGAAGCCACGGGGGCGGTGGGTGGAGGCGGGATGTGGGTGGACTGGGTCCAGGGAACGAAAGAACCACGACGTCGCAGAGGTGGACATCCAAATAACAAGGTGTGTAGTTAATAGTTGTATCTTCCCCCATAAGTGGAATTAGGGCGAGGCCAGAAGTCGGATCACCGACTCGAAGTGCGAGCCCAAGTGGACTTTCCTGTGAGTGCTCCCCAAGAGCTCTAATGCGTTGCGGGATCTTTCTTTTAGAACTTTTCTTTTTCTTCCCCCCCCCCCTTGTTCTCTAACAATTTTCCCAGACTTCGTTTTAGGTGTGATTTTTTTGTCTCTCTCTTTTCTTTTCTTTTATTTTTTTGCCACTTTCGACACGTTTTGATTGAAAAAATGTCAGATGAAGAAATTGAACTTCTGGATCGGTATATACTCGCACCAGATCAGGAAAAGTTCCTTTCTTCGTTAGCTCATGATTCGGAGAGCTTCAGAAACCTGCGTTTGCTGTATGACGTCAATCGGTATGGGATCAACTTGCCTCCGGATTCAAGAAAGGCTCTGAAACACGCGTCGAATAATACACCTGGATCAAATTCGCACGCTTGTTTTTTGTATGACCTTCTCCTTCTTGAGAATGAGACCGACGAGTCCAAGCGTGCGGATTTGATGCAAGAATTAAACAAACGGTACTTCAAGAAAAAGTTCACCGCCCCCCGGCCATCAGGCATGGATCAAAGCGCCGCATGGTTATCCAAGATAGAGCTCTCATGCCCTTCTGAGCTGATTTGTGATCGGTATAGCTTCGAGGAATGCGAAAAAAACCTGCTCGCGAAGCAAGGCCGAAATATCAAGGATATCAAACCCGAGTACTACTATCACCTGGACTTAGAGAAGCTGCTGGCCGCGGCGAACAGGGATTTGGGCGATTTCCAGTGGGTGATGGACGGCCTGCCCAGCTTCACACACGTCCCCTCCATCGGCACGGTGCTGCTCAAATATGAGGATAAGGCGAAGAAACTTCACAAGTCCGACGCCTTTACCCTCGTCATCGCCGAGTCGGTCTACCGAAAGATGACGTTGGAGCAGATGGAGGAGGCCGAGCAAGCGCTACCTCACATGATTCACGACGTGAACTTCGTCGCCTCGAAATTCCGCAAAGTCTTCGAGCGGGAGCTGTTCGACCTTCACAGGGATCGCGACCTCGGCGCCTCCGGTGATTTGGAGGCGCAGGGCGAGATATTACGCCGAATGCACCGGTGGATCCGCGCGCTTCCGCAAAGCCCATCCTACCTCGCCTTTGCCGCGCAGATCCTTCGCACGTTGATGGAGCTCGAGCTCAAACGCCACACCGTCGACGAGGGGCTTTTCAAGGAGTACCTGTCAAACCCCCTGCGGTTCGATCGCCTTGTGTACAGCGCGCGGGCGCCCGTCGTGGGTGTATCGGGCGGCGGCAGGGGCGCTGAAGGGGAGTCGGGCGAGGATTCGTTTTGGTACGGCGTGCACGATTTGAACCCGGAGCGGTGGTTGTCGGAGAGGGATTTCGTTATGCGGGTGCTGACGGTCCTTTTTATGCGCGGGGTCGAGTACGCCCCGTATGAAGCCTACTTGGATCATACCTTTCTACAACGGCTTTACTACAAAACCCAGTTGATGGCGGGGAAGCCGGTGGAAAACGCGACAGAGATCCTGGGTGAATCTGAGCTTGCTGCGCTACGCGAAAAAAAGCATCTTCGCTTTGTGGCGTGGAACAAGAGGCATTTTCTTCCTGGGGAGAGCGTTTGTCTTCACTTAGAGGTCAAGAACATCAGCAATGTTTCGGTGAACATCTTTGAGATTGATACCGAGAGTTACTACCGCAAAAATATGACTGGGATTAGCGAGCGTATCGATTTGGCTGGACTCATACCAAACAAGTGCTTTGAGCGCGCTCTGGAGGCTGACCCTGTGGTGCTTCAAACGATCGCTTTTGAGGATCTTTTTGTGGCGAAACGCGGCGTGTACGTTGTTGATTTTGTCGGGGACGGGCTCAGCAGCCGCGCCCTCATCCGGGTTGGGGCGCTTACTCTCGTCAGACAATTTCTCAGCAAGGGCATTTTATTTCACATGATTGATGAGCAGAAGCATATCTGTCATGGCAAGGGTACCGCTCTCATCGTTGGTAATCGCGTCCTGAAACCCGCTGAAATGCTTCACGACGGCATTCTTATCCCGTTTGGCGAGGAATCGGTCGAAAAAACGGTTATTCTTTTGCATGATGAATTTGCTGAGCTGCACCACCTGCACATACCCGGCGAGAATGTCGTTTTAACGTGTGGGTTGCTGCTTAACGAGGAGGCTATGAAGCTAAGCGGCCCTGTAGAGCTGGTGTTGCTGCCCAAGGTGACGGTGAATGGGGAGAAGGTCGGGCTCGTGAGCCTCAAAAACGTCAAGGTCACGGTTACTGCCACGAGCACGGCGGGCGTCAACAGCCTCACCACCTACGAGGACGTCCTTATCGACAAAGCGGGAAAGGGGGTTACCCTGGAGTACTATATAAAATCGAAAACGGAGCGCCTGACAATGCAGATGACCGCCAAGTTCTTCTCCACTGCGAAGGGGAAACATATTGACCTCTCATGTGAAGAAA